ATATATATATATATATATATATATATATATATATATATATATATATATATATATTTATTGTATTTATTTATTTATTTATTTATTTATTTATTTATTTATTTATGTATTTATTTATACACACACACACACACACACACACACACTGTTGAAGTCAGAATTATTAGCCCACCCTGAGTTATTAGAGTTTTTATTTATATATATATGTATGTATGTGTGTGTGTGTGTGTGTGTGTGTGTGTGTGTGTAAATGATAACAGACATTTCATAGACAGCTTTCTTTACTGATTCTTTTCACAATTACTATAAAGGAAGTATTCTGTCTTATTTTACTGATTGATATTGAATTAAGAGACTGTGTAATTTTTCCACAATGTACTGTATGCTGTAAGAGAGTGTTGAGTGGTTGAAACAGATCAGCACTGACGGTCTGAATGTAAAAGTGATTTAATGAAGTCTGTTCTAATGCTTCTCTTCAGTCCACTTACACAGATTAGATTAGAGCAGTGGCCTCCACAGAAAGCCTGTCTTTTCAATGCATTGTTCGAGTGCCATTTTAATTCAAAAATGGAAAGGTTTACTGTGCCAAAAGAAGATTTTCACTCTGTTTCACCACCATTTAATTTCTTTTAGCATTATTTAACACAGACACATTTCAGGAAGCCCTTTGTCAAACACACCACTGAATCTGGATGCAAATATATTTTATAGATATCTTACACTGAGAGACGGGTAAGACAATGAAATAAAAAGAGACACAGGATATTCCACAATGGACTGAAAGTGTATTCATTTGTAAAGAAAAAATGCTCTTTGCATTTATTTATTTAGTATTTATTATTATTATTAACAACAGCAATACTAGTATTATTTATTTATTTGTTTAGAATTCGTGTTTTGGACATGTAGTTAGATAATTAAAACAGAGTCAGTAAACTGAACAGTTACAAAATAAATAAATAAAAAATGGACAGTTAATTAGCAAAACTAAACATGTCAGTAAACTAAATATATTTATTCGTTGGTTAGTTAGTTAAACTGAAAATATCTGTGAAGTAAACCTATATTAGTTAGTTAGTTAGATAGTCAAAAAATGTCAATAGACTGAACTAATGGCTGTTTACTTAACAAAAAGAGTTAATGGAGCACCAACCTGATTTCACTTCTTAGGACCTGTTCCTTGATTAACATGTTCCTTGATACTGGAACAAGATTCAAATCAGCCAATCAGAATTATGGGATATGTTTACAGTTTATGTTATGGTTAGGTTTTTACACTGCTACATGATTGCTATCCAACTATTATTCCCCTCTGATTATGGGAATAGTTTACAGTTATTGTTGGATTTAGGGGTAGGGAATAGATACGGATTACATACAGACAACATACATGTTAATCCAGGATCGCATCATTGGCAAAAACATGACATGCTTAATTGATTGAACAGTTAAGGAGTTTATTAGTTGCTTAACAAAAAAGTCAGAGGACTAAATAATTATTTACAGTAAGGTTAGTTGATTGAGAGTTATTTAATTCATTTAGCTAGCTGTTTGTTAAACCAAAAAAGCTGGATTAAACATTTATTTTATTGGCTAGTTAATTAGCTTTATATTTGTCTTCCTACTTCAAGCTTTAGCAATATTGTATCCTTTACAGTCATGCTAATAAAACAATTCTGAATTGAATTAATTCGTTTAGTTGAACTTTGAGCTAGATTTAGTTCAGTTAATAAAAGTGTCAATGGACTAAACATTATTTAGTTAACAAAAAGAATCTAGGGCAGCACGGTGGCTCAGTGTTTAGCACTTTCACCTTACAGCAAGAAGGTCACTGGTTCAAGTCAGTTGCCAATTCTGTGTGGAGTTTGCATGTTCTCCCTGTGTTGGCGTGGGTTTCCTCCGGGTGCTCCAGTTTCCCTACAGTCCAAAGACATGCACTATAACTGAATTAAGTAAGCTAAATTGGTCATAGTGTATGTGTGTGAGTGCAGGAGTGGGTGGATGTTTCCTATTGCTACGTAGGCGTAAAGGAGGCATCCAAAGCAGATGCCCGGAGAGGGTGCTCGCTGCAGAGCCTTTTGAGCAGAGCTGAGCTCCAGCGAGGGGGAGCATGAGCTCTCGCTCTGCCTCCTGTAAGCTGTTTTAATGCGTACACCAACCCCACCCCTAACCCTACCCCCAGTGACATCACTCGTAGAAGAAGTGCAGAAAAGGTGGAGCTCAAGCTCAAGCTCCCCCTCGCTGGAGCTCAGCTCTGCTCAAATGGCTCTGCAGCGAGCACCACTTGGATGCCCGAGCCACCTCAGCTGACTTCTCTCGATGTGGAGGAGCAGCGGCTCTACTCCGAGCTTCTTCCGGGTGACAGAGCTCCTCACCCTATCTATAAGGGTGTGCCCTGCCACCCTGCAAAAGCTCATGACCATAAGTGAGAGTAGGAACATAGATTGACCGGTAAATCAAAAGCTCAGCCACAACGGACTGGTACATCAACCGCATTACTGCTGCCATTGCACCAATCCCTCTGTCATTCTTACGTTCCATCCTTCCCTCACTCGTGAACAAAACCGCAAGATAAGGTAAGGACTAGGGCTGTGCAAAATTATCGATATCTGACAATCGCAATAATTTCTTTCACGATAGTGTATCGATAGTCCAACCTGAAATATCGATACAAGTTGTGCCTAACAACCTCCTCCTCTGCTCCAGTAGATGTTGCTAACTCGCTATCAACAAAATGCAAAGTAGTACGGCATCAGAAGTAAGCAAGAGTGAGCATAGTGGAAAGTAGAAAGGTGCACAAGACCAATTTTATGCACTTGCACAAATGCTCCCAAATATATTTTGAGGACGCATAGATAAAAATCTTGGGCGCATATGCGACCAAAACGGTCGCAATTTAGAGCTCTGATTTTGGTTTCTATTACTTTAACACATTTTAAAGCGCTGTTTTCCAGTTTTGTGTTTACTTGATACATTTTATTAATTTTTTTTACTTGCTTTAGTTTTATAAATTGTTTATTTTATTTAGCGACTTTAGTGGCATATACGTTTTAGTTAAGTGTTTACAATATGCATTTAATAGATTTCAGTGAGTTCTCCGTTCAATCACACTGTGCAGTTCTAAGGAATTGAAATGAATAGAAAATAAATTAAAATTAAAGTTTTATTTCGTCTGCTGCCTTTATCAAGTTGTCAATATAACATGACACATACTAATACAAACTATTGCAATATATCACAATATTTATTGTATTACAATATACCGTGATGTACTGTACCCTGACCATTTATCGTGATATGTATCATATCGTGAGGCCTTTGCCCATACACAGCCTTAGTAAGGACTTTCCTTCAACCTGGAGATGGAATATTTAGTTAACAAACTATAAATGGACTGAATATTGTTTAGTTAACAAAAACTGACCAAAGAATTGGTTTGTAGGACCAAAGCGATGAGCATTTTATTTTATTTATTTTTTACTTTTTTGTTACAGAGTCAATTTATGTTACAGAGAGAAGAACCAATAATGAATTCAAAATTGTAATAATTATTTATTTATTTAGTAAATTGAATTGGACAATTGGGCACAATTCTTAAAAATTTGCTTAATAATTTGCTAAAAGACTTAATATTTATTTAAAAAAACATATTGTATTTATAATTTATTAAAAAATTGCATTTGTGCTTCACACAGGGGAGTGGGCTTAACAAACCACCTCTAGAAACACTTTTCACTTCCCTCTCAAAAAACAAAAAGCACTTCCTTACTCAAGCATTTATATGAACAGGACTTTTCATTTTCAGTCAGCCAGCCCAAGCGTTTCCTATGAACTGTCGTTCTCTTACAAAATCACCACTTTCAAGATCTGATTTCATTAAAAATCAAGCAATCTTCACTGCCTGAGAGATATACAATTTAAAGAAGGTATCCGATCAGACAAGAAGCACTGCATTAAATTCCATTCCCCCCCGCCATGTGTTTAAAAAATGTACATTTATTTTAATGCCGTATTTTCAATGGAGTTTCTGCACTAGCCTGATCCTACTGACGGCTCTTGCGTTTACACATCTTTCATCTAGTTTAACTCTTAAACAAGTAAATGAATGCTGAAGTCTATGAAACTGATTGTATTTTAATTACATTGCAACATTCATTCTGTAAAAGGGAACCATATGAAATTGAAAAGTGTCACATAAATCTTTCGCCGGAAGTTTATCATTGGCTTAAAAACCCTAGCTGTGCATATAGCCCATTCTCTGAGTAGTTCCTTTGTATAATTACAGTAGCACTTCCTGTGTGTATTGTTTCTTCAAGTTGATTTGCTGAATGTTTCTGCAATTGTAAGTTGCTTTGGACAAAAGAGTCTGCCAAATGACTAAATGTAAACCTAAATGTAATATAAAGGAATTCTGCAGAGCATGATTTGTGGTTCAGTGTGTCGGTGAGTGAGTTACAGTGAACTGCTGCATGGCACATATCTCTGCCTTCCGTCTGGCTGTATTGGCATGCCCTGCTGCCATGGCAACGTACTCGTACAGTACGTGCATGTGCGAGCTCCGGCATGGCTGCGCCCAGATGTTGAACTCGGTAACCTCCATTTATCCTAATCCGCCGAACACTTTCCCCTTGCCTCGGCCCATCTGTATCCCTGTCACATGTTAAAACGTCGCATTGACATACATTAATCCAACCAGGTGTCGTTTCCCCCTCTCTCCCTAACTCCATTCGAATAAATCCACAACACGCAGAAAATTAATCTGCCATCGTTCGACCTTCCTTGACAAAACGACTCTCTTAACCTTCCATACATCCTTTTTCGTGTCTCTTAAAGGGAAAGATGAAGGAATAAACCCAAAACTAGAAGGGCTGAGCTTAATGAGAGCCTTCAAATCCTCATGGGGGTTTAGTTCATAGCGTCGGAAAGAGCACGTTATGAAATCCTGTTGACATTGTGTTGATTTATAAGGGCATTCTCTCCATTGTTTCCTTTGTGTCCTGCAGCTAAGCACGACGTGAATGGTAACAGGACAGTGCCACCGTTCCCAGAGGGATTGCAGATGGTCTTATTCGGTAAGTGATACGTGCTGAGAGTAGTGTGTGTGTGTGTGTGTGTGTGTGTGTGTGTGTGTGTGTGTGTGATGGGGTAGAGACGACCAGCAGTGGAAGGTAATTAGTCCCCCTCATGCACCCCCCTCAAAAAAGAGTGCAAAATCAAAACTGCAAAAGGACAAGGAAAATAAGGAGGAGGAGTGTGCCGATTAATTTCAGACCGCTGATTAGGATCTCTTTAATAAATGTATTTGTTCAGCCTCCTTTTTTTCTTTCTTTAGGCCTCAAACTGTGTAATTCATCATGGCAGACAGGAATTAAAAGGCGGTTCTATCACAGGGCCTTGTATACAAATACAATACCATTCAGAGGATGTATGCAGCTTTTCAAATCACAAACCTCCCGCTGAGACCGATGAAGGGTAACTCTTACCTTTGACTCCATGAAAATATAGCCTTTTTTCCCTTAGCAAGGCATCATTTGTTATTAAAAAAAAAAGTGTCCTCCAGAAATCCTGTCTTTTCAATGAATTTTTAGAGTTTAATTTTAATTTAAAACTACAAAGGTTGACTGTGCCAAAAGAAAATTTTCACTCTTTCACGTATCGATGCAGACTTATTTTATAGATATCTTACACCAAGGGCCCTATCATACACCTGGCGCAATAAGGCGCAAGATGTGTTTGGCGCGTTTTGTTGTTATTTTTAGACCAGTGCAACTGCAATTTTTATGTTTTGCGCCATGTTGTTTACTACCAAATCTGTTTGTGCCACTTTGTGGACTTATGCATGTGCTGGTCTATAAAGCAGATGTGTGCATTGTTGGCACTTTGCTATTTTGATGAACTGAAATAGACAGCACTATTTACCAACTGAAAGCTGGTCTATATACAGCGCAAAGTGTGTTAGTTATGCGCCTATGCAGATCCAAACGCAAACTACTATAGATACGCGCTGCATTTTTTCACATCATAAACAACTAAAGAAACGTGCTGCATTTATTGAAAGCGTTGCATACTATTAAAACAATGTTTCACATTTCATCATCAGTATATTTAAGCTAATAATTTACAAACGACAATAGAATTGTGTAAACGGGTTAATAAAATAAACAAAAAATTCACAGTTTAAAGACCAACAACTTCACTGAGCAACAGTCATAGCATAATAACACATCCACCAGCAGGGTCGTTCATGTTTTTTGGTCCCCTTGAAACATTTACATTGTTATGTGGATATGTGTGGATACAAGTGTTGTAACCAAATGCAGTGCGTTTCTTCTGTTGTTTATATTGTGAGAATTTGCAACACGTGTGCTGGCAAACTGATGAAGATCATTTTTTATTTTGCGAGTGTTTTCGTAATTACACGTGTTTTCTTAAATTGCAGCATGTTAAGCTCTCTCGACCGTACATACTTCGTTATTATTGCTCATTTATTTGTTTTCTTGAAATTAGAACTGAATTTAGAAATTGTTTTGAAACAAATCTTTGCACTTAACAAACAAAACTGATTATGTAAGCTAATGGATTTCTTCAGTGGAGTGCAACATTGTTTCCTCATCCACGAAAGTAAAGGAGTAAAGTAAAGGAGTAAAGTAAAGAGAATGTAAAGAGGCTGAATAGAGGAGGCTCATTCTTTATCCGTAACTGTTTTTTTGCTAGTAAAGTGTTCAGTTTTTCCAGTTACAAAGTCCACAGTGTAAATAGCAAATGTGCTATGGCGTGACACAACTGACTCTTAAAGGGAATGTGCGATGAGACTCTGATTGGTTTAATGCACGTTATGCTCAAAACACACCCAGAACTCATTAAGAAAATAAGCACAACCCTGTTAGACCATGCACCATGGCGCAGAGTGTATTTTTTCATCTGCAAAAGTGGATTCGGACATGCCCTTAATCCTTTTGCGCCATGAGCTTTAGACTCACCTAGATCGAAAAAAAATAGAGCCCTAAGAGATAGATAAGACATCAAAATAAAAAGATAGACAGGATATACTGCAATAGACTAAAAAAGTGTATTCATTTGTATAAATAAAATAATAAATAAATACCCCCCCCCTTTTTTTTTTTAAATATATTTCCAGAGCTTCAACATTGCTCTTGCAAAAGCATCATCCTATATATCCTTGCTTCTGAAAGGATGTCCCTCTGGGGCCACAGTAATTGAGCTCCAGATTCTAGATTCTCCATCAAGCCTTATGCTCATTTCTGCACCAGCCGCTTGCAAACCAGAGAAATCCGGTCAAGATGACAGTCGTGCACCTATTTTTTTTTTAAGCAATTGAATTATTTTACACCCACGAGACGTTGGTGGATAACGCTATACTAGTTACCCTTTAATTTATTTTTACTGTTATAGAGGGGAAAGTATTATTTGGTAATAAATGCTTAGAGCGGGTGTTAGTTTTATGGTGGTTGATATGTTTTTATTGGCCTTGAGTAAATGCGTGATGGAGGAGCCTTTCGTTTTATTGGGATTGTAAATTCAGACAGATAAAAATACAGAGCTTTGATTTTTAGGGGTTGATTTGCCAGCAGTAGAGGAAGATCAGTCCCTGCAGAATGCACAAAAACACACAGCAAAGGAGAATTTGGTGAGGAAAACACAGATTAACATGTTTGGGGTGGGAATATTTTTGGCTAATGATTTTAAAAGAAGCCTAGACTGCATTTATTTGATCAAATATGCATTATTGCAGTATTTTGAAGTTTTCTAATTCAATATATTTTAAAGTACAAACTAAATCAAAACTGATTGTATGATTGTGCTAGCTCACATTGCTGGTCTTGTGGTGAAAAATTCCAAGTCTACCTGTCTGCAGACTGCAAGGCGTAACTTGTAGTAATTTTGAGTAGTAACTTGCAGTTATCAAAATCCCAGTGAAACATACGAGATGTCATAATGAGGTGTTGTTGGCAAAATGGCGGAAATACTTTCCTGAGAACATTTTCATCAAATGTTTTCATGAGTTTTCTCCAAATTTATCAACAACCTATTCATTTGATTTATTATTGCATTCATTCATTTAGCAACTCCACTCTCTGACTTCTCCATCAGTTTTGTCATGATAATTAGGTTGGGTTGGGTTAAGGGTTGGGGTAGTTGTAAACATTAACAACTATAATGGTTGGGTTAAGGGTTGCGTAGTTGTAGACATTATTTACTATGATAGTTAGGTTTAGAGTTGGGGAAGGTGTAGACATTAATAACTGTGATAGTTAGGTTAAGGTTTGGGGATGATATATGTTATTAACTGTGATGCTTGCGTTTAGGTTTGGGGAAGGTGTAGAAGTTAATAACTGTGATTGTTGGGTTTAGGTTTGGGAGAGTTGTAGACATGAATAACTATGATGGTTGGGTTTAGGGTTGGGGAAGATGTAGATGTTAATAACTGATGTACAGCGCCATCTTGCCGACAACATAGTTTTGACATGTCTCTATAACTTCAAGTTACGCCTGTAACGTACTACAAGTTATGCCCCTAAGGCCCCTTGATGTTACGCCCCTGTCTTGCAGTCCACAGACAGACCCTAATCCACAGTTCATCTGTTCATGTCATTAAGAAAACACCCACTGTTTTCTTATTTAATATTCTGTTTCTCTAGAAACTGTGCCACAATATGGGGAAACAATTTACAGCTCAGGTCTTCAATGCCACAAGATTCTTCAATCTTCAATCTAATATGCTGTTCAAGAAACACGTGTTACTTTTATAATTTCTGCTAAAATTTGAATCTTATTCAGGATTATTAAAATGTCTAAATATCACATGCAGGTGAAGATTTTTGTAGGAACAAATGGATCCTAATACCAGCCATTATATTCATTTAAATGTGTCGAAAAAAAGAAAATTGCACAAAATCTTACAGTTTTGCAACAACAAATTCAGATGAACGTCCTGAAATCATCAGGGAGTATAAATAACATGATCAAATGAGCAAATGAACAAGGAACAGGTGGACACAGTAGGTAACCATGGTAACTAATAGACTTGCACTAGGGAACTAGAGCTTCGTCCTTCAAAGGCCAGTTGTGTTACCACTGCACAACAAAGGCTATACCAATTCAAAGGCTCCTTGAAGTGTCACCTCGAAAAATGTGGAGGATGTGGATATAATGGAGGATACAGCAGACATATTCTTTTTGGCCAAGCCTTATATATTATATTATATTATATTATATTATATTATATTATATTATATTATATTATATTATTATATTATATTATATTATATTATATTATATTATATTATATTATATTATATTATATTATATTATATTATATTATATTATATTATATTATTATTATATTATATTATATTATATTATATTATATTATATTATATTTAATATATTACACTATATTACTTTATCATATTATATTATATTAAATTATATTATGTTTATTATATTATATTATATTTATTATATTATATTATATTTATTATATTTTAAAAGATTTAATATATAACAATATATTACTTTATTATATTATATTCATTATATTACATTATATTTTAATATGTTTAATATATAACCTTATATTACTTTATCATATTATATTTATTATATTACATTCTATTACTTGATTATATTATATTATAATATATTATATTATATTATATTATATTATGTTATGTTATATTATATTTTAATATATTTAATATATAACCTTATATTTCTTTATCATATTATATTATATTTATTATATTACATTCTATTACTTGATTATATTATATTATATTATATTATATTATATTATATTATATTTAATATATAACATTATATTACTTTATCTTATTATATTTATTATATTACATTACTTTAATACATTATATTATATTATTTAAGTGGATCGAGGTAAACATAGTTTGTTACACACAGCCAACATTTAGCATATATCTTTCCAAAAAGTCCAGTACAAACATTAATACAGCTCATCAGCTGAACATGTAATATTCATGTGCATAATGTTGCCGGTCTCACAGAATATGGTTTACATGGTTTACATTTACATTTATGGTTTTGTGGTTATGGGGTTTAATGTCTAATATGAACACTCCCTAAACAATAACCCTGGCACCAAAGCAGAAAAAATACTGATAAAAGCCTCTTGTGAGTATTATGAAATTAGTCCATATGACTTCAAACGCTCAAAATTACATGTTCTCTAAAGTGCATGACATTTGTCTGTTTTTGAGCTTGTAATATGGATGAATGGTTATTGAATCCACGGTTTTCTTTGATATATCCTTAAATAATACAAAATTTTTGTATTATATCTGACATTATATCTTGTCTTGTATCTATCTTTTAATTCAGGTATGGGTTGTTTCTGGGGAGCGGAGAGGAAATTCTGGAGGCAAAAGGGGGTTTATTCCACTCAAGTGGGCTATTCAGGCGGTTACACCCCAAACCCTACCTATGAGGAGGTCTGCACTGGTATGTCTGATCCACACTCAGCCTTAAAAAAAAATTGCAAACCTATGATTTGCGGTGAAACTATGGCAATTTCAAATCTTGGAATTTGACTCACACTTCAGCCACGTATAACAATGTTTAAACAATTTGAGCATCATAAATTATGTATGTAATGACTTTACCTGCATGGTCACCAAGCTTTTCACTTATATTCTAAATGATGTTTGAAGAGGAGAAGACTTTTTCAGCACATTTTAAAGATAAGATTTTTAATTACTAACTATTAATTTTTAATTACTTTTTAATTACTAATTTTTTTTAAATAATAATAAAAATATGCATTCCAGTCAAACTATATAAAATAAGAATAAAAAAAAATAAACAAAATAAGAATTTCTCAACAAGAGAAATATATTAGGAAATACTGTTAAAAAATGCCTTTGTTCTGTTAAACATCACCTGGGAAATCTTTAAAATAATTTCATCATATTTAACTGCAACTGCATATTGCATCATATATAACTATATAACATATATAACAGACACGTGTATGTGTATATATATATATATATATATATATATATATATATATATATATATATATATATATATATATATATATATATATATTAGTTGAAGTCATAATTATTAGCCCCCCTTGAATGTTTATAATATTTTCACTATTTGTCTGATAATATTTTTTTCTTCTGGAGAAAGTCTTATTTGTTTTATTTTGGCTAGAATAAAAGCAATTTATAATTTTTAAATAAACATTTTAAGGACAAAATTATTAGCCCCTTTAAACTATATCTGTTTTCGATTGTCTGCAGAACAAACCATCCTTATACAATAACTTGCCTAATTAATTACCTTAACCTGCCTAGTTAACCTAATAAACCTAGTTAAGCCTTTAAATGTCACTTTAGGCTGTGTAGAAGTGTCTTGAAAAACATCTAGTCAAATAGTATTTACTGTTATCATGGCAAAGATAAAAGAATTGAGTTAATAGAAAAGAGTTAGTAAAACTACAGTTGAACCTAACCCCCCTGTTTACTTTTTTCCCCAATTTCTGTTTAACAGCGAGCAGATGTTTTCAATACATTTCTAAACATATTAGATTTAATGCATCATTTCTAATAACTAATTTCTTTTATCTTTGCCATGATAACAGTAAATAATATTTAACTGTAGAGTAAAAATCTGTCTCATAATCACTGAGAAATGGACAAAAATCTTTCAGAGGCAATGTACTCTTTTACGCTGAACACTGTACACACGTTCCATATATTCAGTTTATAGGTACTGACTACTAAAGCTAGCTTTTGCTTTTCATGACAGCGACTGAATAGAAAATGCAATGACTGAAGGAGGCTAAATGCTAGGTTTGCATTTGATTAAAATCCGTTTATTTGATTAAAATTAATCTAACTAAAACAGCAATTGTGTTAATGAATTTTCATTGATAATTTTTTATTATTCTGAGCCCAAAATTTATTAAGGAATTTTAAAATGTATTATGATTTCCACTAAAACATTCAAAAGTGGCAACTGTATATCTACTTTTAAAATTTTATTTTATTTAACATTTTCAAATTTAGTTTATTTAATTTAATTTAATTTAACTTAATGTAATTGTAATTTTTTTAATTGTTTAATTTAATTTTTTTTGTAATTCTTTATTTAAAATTATTTTTTATTTAATCTTTTTATTTTTATTTTAATGTATTGTAAAAATGTTTAATTTATTATAATATATTTTTATTTTATTTTTTACATTTATTTAATTTTATCTTAAACATTTTTAACTTTTAAATGTTATGTTTTTATTTCATTTTATTTTATCCCACTAATTTATGTTAAGCTGCTTTGACACAATCTACACCGGAAAAGCGATATCGAAAATAAAGACAACTTGACTGACTCTACAAGATTCAGCAAGACAGACACAATTCAGGTCTAAATGATTGATGCTACAATGTGAGCAATCAGCAGCTGTGATCATTCTGCACACTGGAGGAAAACAGAAATGGTGCTTGATGTGCCAGTGCCAAACAGCGGCCGATCGAAAGAAGAATGGGAAGCTTGATAAATATCAAGAATTAAAAGAATGAGGCAAGTTAAAGCCAGGATAAAGCCAGTGTGATAGGAGGCTCTTGGGACATAGACACTCGAGCTGGAAGAAAGCAGGACTTAACAAGAAAAGCTGCAGAGATCTCTATCCAGAAGAGAGCAATTACAGGCAGCGCAAGAACATACTCTGAGTACAATTCTCACATTTCGAGACCATATGTCTGTCTGTCTGTCTGTCTGTCTGTCTATCTGTCTATCTATCTATCTATCTATCTATCTATCTATCTATCTATCTATCTATCTATCTATCTATCTATCTATCTATCTATCTATCTATCTATCTATCTATCTATCTATCTATCTGTCTATCTGTCTGTCTGTCTGTCTGTCTGTCTGTCTGTCTATCTGTCATTCTATCGTTCTGTATGTCTGTCATTCTATCTATCTATCTATCTATCTATCTATCTATCTATCTATCTATCTATCTATCTATCTATCTATCTATCTATCTATCTATCTATCTATCTATCTATCTATCTATCTATCTATCTATCTATCTATCTATCTATCTATCTATCTATCTATCTATCTATCTATCTATCTATCTGTCTGTCTGTCTGTCTGTCTGTCTGTCTGTCTGTCTGTCTGTCTGTCTGTCTGTCTGTCTATCTATCTATCTAATCTATCTATCTATGAATCATTCTATTGGTCTGTCTATCTGTCTGTCTGTCTGTCTGTCTATCATTCTATCTATCGCTCTATTTATCGTTCTATTATTCTATCTATCCTGCTATTGTTCTCAATCATTCTAATGATCTGTCTTTCTGTCTGTCTGTCTGTCTGTCTGTCTGTCTATCTATCGTTCTATCTGTCTTGTTTTTTTTATTCCGGTGATATATCTAAAGGCATATCCAGATGCCATTCATCTTACAGTTTTTCTCAGTCCCTTTGGTGCATTTCTCACAACACTTTTACATTTGCACAACAGTTAATGCATTTCTCAAAACAGTTAGTCATTTGTGCACATCCTAGTAGCAGTTTCTCATTCCTTCCAACACATTGCAGGTGCTGGAAGTAAAATGATTTACTTATTATGATAACATTCTTGTTGCAGTAATATATTAGCAGGCTAATATACTACTTTTGTATTATTCAGTTTAATTGAATTCAGTCTAAAAACACTTTTTATTGCTGTCAAGCTTTGCACATCCAAAAATCACTGGGGAATTTAGACCAATACATTTTTACAGTGTTTACAACATGAGTAAATTGTGTGGAGCTCTGCAATATTTACAATGTACAAATTTAAGTGGATTTAATATAAAACAATTAAGTTGCCCCCCCAAAAAACCTCAAGTAATTTGTTTCAGCTTATTTTAAATAAGTAGTTTAAACGAGTGACAAAAATATATTTTTGTTTTTTAGTGTGTTGAATAAAGGCATCTGCTAAATGAATATCTGTAAATGTGTTTTTAAACTGTCCATTCATTAAAAAAAAATCTGATTTTAGCATCAAATAAATGCAGCTTGTAATATATAAGCATTTGAGAGTCTTTCAAACGCATGAAACAAATGTTCAGACCCAAACGATTGTTTTTGTAAAATAAACTGTGTCAAATAATTCTGTTTAGTTGAGTGAAAGCAAAAGTTCTTCACAGCTCTCGTAGTTTTTTCTCCATCTAGAAGAGCATGACAGGCCTGAGCTTTGATCTCCAGAACTTTCTCCATTTCTCTGCTTTAGCACACTGTTCAGTCACAACGATTTCTTATCAAGCGAATTTGCTTTAATGGTCTTGCTCACAGTACATAAACATTCCTCACTTCAAGTTTAGAGGACATAAAGCAAGCATGCATCTCGCTGCAGGGCATTCTTGTCAAAAATTCACTCTTTTTCTCAGAAGCTCTACATATTTTCCCAATCAAAGCTGGAGTGTAGTCAGGTGTGCTGATTCAGCAGGTGGTCAGAGCTGAAGCGTGTTCAGCTCTGGGTGGTGAAGCTCAGAGGGAGCTGTCCATTGACTGGTGCTGAAATGAAGGAACAGTACTGAAATGATCAGCAAAACTCAATGCCCCTTCACAGGGTTTCAGTGCTGACAATATTTGTAACAGGGAACATGTTTTAGAAGAAATGGAAGTATTGTTTATTCTTTTCTGTGTACTAAAATAAAAATAATAAAAATAATAGTAATAATAAATATTATTATTTATTATTATTATTATGTTAGTAATTATACTACTACTAATAGGAATTACTGTTTTTTATATTCATATTATTTATTATTATTATTATTATTGTAATTGTTATTATTAATATTAATACTAACATTTATTATTATGATTAATAATAATAATAATAATAATGATAACTAATGTTATTCATATTATTCATTTTATTATAATTTATAATATTATTATAATTTTTATTAATACTAACATTTACTACTACTACTAATAATAATAATTATTGTTTTTCATATGATTCATATTATTCATGTATTATTATTCATATTATCATTATTATTATACTAACATTTATTATTATTAATAATAATAATAACCTTTATTATTTATATTATTTACATTAACTTTATTATTATTATTATTATTACTATTATCAATAACCTTTATTATTATTAACAACAACAACAACAGCAGCAGCAACAACAGCAACAACAACAACAACAACAACAACAACAACAACAACAACAACAACAACAACAACAACAACAACAATAATAATAACAAATATCAAAGTCCCTTTAAGGCAAGTCATTTCACTCTGTGGCCATCTTTGAAACGCCTCTCGGGCAGTATTCTGTTTGAATTGGGAAACATCAAATTCTCCAAAATTACTTGCCAAGCTTACGATTGAATTTCATATTAGGAATCATCAATAAAATTAAACAACGACTGTCTCTTTAGTTTCGTTTCTAAATATTCGAATCACACAA